AAGGCAGATTAAAAGAAACTTATCCGATGTTACCAACTTCTACATAAAACTCTGGAAAGGGATGAGACAGCAAACTCAAAAACTGTGATTTCTACTACATTTTTAAAACACTTTTCTCAGGGGCTCGGTTTCTTTCTTTTATATTAGCAAATCAATGCATATCACAGCATAAAGATATCCGAACTACCAATTTGCCCTGATTTTTCCCTGATCTACACTAACCCAGCAAGATGCCCTTCATCTTATACATATATATATTTCTATATATGCTTATCAGCTTACGTTTTTCTACATTTTGCCACAGAGCAGACATATCCCTTCTATCTGTGTCCCCTACACTCTCTCTTCTGCTTTGCGCTTCTCTATATCCCTTTTTTCAGCTTCCTTTCCTGTTTCTCACCTTTCCCGCCCCCACCATCCCATGACCACCCAATTAAACTCGGGGCTTTTATGTCCCTTACACAAGCTCTTTGTGCTGTTAAAGCTACACCGGGCAGCAAATGCAGCCTTTCACCTACTTGGCCACAGCAGAGAGTCTGTTCTCCTCTCATTGCCGTGGCTGGTCTGTGCTCCAGGAGCCAAACAAAACCTAGAACAAGTGCCATGGAAAGCCTTGACAGCGTTACAGGCTGTGCTGCAAGAAGATGATAGGGTGATAGCCCTGGATTTTTTTATTATTTTTTTTTTAATAGGCACCTTTCAACGACTCCTCATTAAGTTCTTACACAATATGTGAAACACCCAGATGAGGAGATCATTGTGCAGGCTTTGAGTTTATGTTCAAGAGGTTCAAGGGCCAATTCCAAAATGTCCCCACCTCCTTACCAGTTTGTTTCTCAGGAGGGAGGACTTGCTCAGGCAAATATACAATGGTATATTTGATATATAATGGTATATATCAAGCCCACATTTGTGTATGTAGCCAGCCCTGCATAGATTACCCACTGCCTAAAGTCAACAGTTCTCCAGTATGAACTTCCATGGACTGACTGATAAAACGTGCTGCATCCAAAATAACCACCAATTTCAATGACACTAATACATTCCTTCTGTGGAGCATTCACCTGATGGACTATGACCATCGGATGATACTGCGAGTTACCAATTATACGTACCTTTATCTCTACGTGTCAAAAGAAGTCATGGCTTTGAGTCTGGTTGTGGACATTGAGGCCACAACCTTCAGTTAGAACACTGAACAAGTAAAAATATTTCACAAATTTGCAAATTAATTTCCCTTCAAAAAAATCTGGCTTTGCAGTGGATCTCCCCCCCTTACTTTCTAACAGTAAAATATCATTAATGAAGCTTGAAGTAATGCATCCTAAAATAATCAATTGTAGAGTGGGGCTTTATTCCTTTCCTGGCCCTCTCCACCTTCTTAGACATCTCTATGTTCGTCAGCTTTGCAATCTTCTTCTATATATAATTGCAAAATAATATAGTTTGCAAAGGACCTCTGGGGGGCTACAGTACAACCTCCTGGCTCAAAGCAGATCTGCTGCCCCTCAGCACAGTCACAGAAACTAGAGAACCAGATCTTCAGCTGCTACTAATGGGAAAATCACTGGGATTCACCAACTTGCAGTTGTACATGATTTTACTCTGCAGGAGCAAGAGATGTTGCCAAGGTTTTTCTTCTGAACTGATACCAGAACTGGAAATGTTAAACTAATTCACATCAGATAGGCTATAAATTGCAGCTGAAAAAAAATAATTGAATTTTATATGCAATTATTTTCAAAAATGAGGTCTGCAAAGTGCTTGGAGCCCACGAACCACGGCGTAGGGGTTCCACAAAGATGACCGGGAAAAATACCTATAGCACAGAAGTTTAAATTCACTGAACACGGATCTCTCACTGGGATAACAAATCAAAGCAGCAATTTATTGCCATGCAGAGCTAGTCAACATAGATTTGACAGCCAATTTCCCTCGGGATTTTCTACTAGACGTGGAATGCCAGAGCTGGAAGCAGCACTCTCCTCTTCCTCCTCCACCAGAGCAGCACAACGACCGACACGAGCCAAGCCCTGGTGTGGGAACAGTACTACAGTGTTTCTTAACAAATACAGCTTAGAAAAGCTTGACTTTTTCATGGTCTGCCAGACAATTGTCCTCTTCTGCACGTCCTCTCCAGGGAACAGGGAGTCCACAGAGCAGTTTTCGATCAGGAATGATAGTTTTCATCAAAACCCATGTAGACTCATCAGTGGTTGCTCCTGCCTGAGGTGGTGTTAGCACCGACTGGAGGGGGCTTGATGGGGTGCAGGAATTGGGTGCTCCATGCACTTGTAACATACAGTATTTATTAGACATGTCAATGATTTATCTACTACATTATCCAGTAGGCTCTAAGGTTGTAAACTAAAAGCCACAAGGCAAAGGGTAAAAAAACAAAGTAGGGTAAGAAAAGATGATTCACTTACCCATGGTAATCAATTTTTAGGAGAAACCAGATGGAAAAATCACATCAGAATGCATCTGTGCAAGGCCCTGAGGATAAGGGCACCTGGACACAACAGGAAAAGCACCAGGGTGGCAGCCTCCAGGTGTGTGGGTACGAGGAAAGGGGGGGCTACAAAGGGAACACCCTGAGCATTCCAAAGGTTAAAGCACCTAACATGCCACCGTGACACGCCCACAGGATTAAAATCCTGAAATTCAAATAACTCAGCCCAGAAAGTGCCATGGTAAACTTCTTCCCCATCGCAAGCAACGAGCTGCGGCTCCACCTTAACGTCCCGTCTTGCTGACATTTCTGATTAGCCTTGTCAGAGGTCTATTTTGAACCAAACTAAATAAAAACCAGCAAGTCTTAGGAAAACATTCCTTTCGTTTCTGACTTTCCTCACCCCACGCCGCAGGAAAAGGCTGTTTAATAGGCTGAAGTCCTTGAGCAGCCCTAAGACCAGGCAGAAACAGGGGAAACCTATAGGGTGTCTTGGCACAAAGGTGGTTCCTGTTGCCCATGGAGGGAGCAGGGGTGAGGAAAAGGAGAGGAGCAAGAATTCTTTTAGATATTTACTGTTGTCAACTCCTTTGGGCCAGTGGCAGTGGGTAAAACCAGAGCACCCTTGTCTGTAGCTGCTCTGAACTATGGCTGGGCAGAAGGACAACAGCACCAGGGTTGGAGGCACTTCTTGCTCTCACTGATGGAGGTGGTCTCTTATCCTTCAGCAACAAGATACCATCCTCAGCTAGAGAGCAAATAAGCACTGGGAATGAAAACATTTGATGGTTAACCATGTGGTTAACCTCTGCTTTTCCAGCCCAGGTCAGAACACAGTGCTATTGAGAGATGAGACAAATAAAGGTCTGAGCTACTGGAAGCCAAAGTTACTCCAATCCTCAGATTCGATCATAAACCAGAATGCTGGAAACTCAGGGAGTGCAGTCTGTACCCTAAAATGTTGGTATATGAAATCTGGTTAGAATCAGCCAGACCCTACAGAAAGGATTAATAAGCCTTCCACTTATTAATGCAAAATAATCACAAGAAAAAATATCTATCACCAGGAAGGGTGTGGGTCACAACTGCCTTGCTCTGGAGAGAGGCCACAGATACCTTCAGGCATGAGAAAGACAGGAGTAAAAACACCCTGCCATTGTTTTTACCCTTGCACCACAACACCTTGCACAACCTAATGACAGGGATTATTTTATACTAAAAGTGCCTCCCGGCAGAGAAAAGATGGCACCGTCCCACCTGTCCATAAAAGCATCGCCCTAAGCGGGGGATCTCCAGCTGAGCCTCCTGTCAGACAGATCTCCTGGGGCAGAAGAGAACTGTTAATTCTGACAGCCATTGAGTCGGTAATTCAGCATGACAAAATAGAGCAAAAACAATGCTGATGTCAGGCAGAATACCATAAATCTCCTTTTTAAGTCTGCTGCTAAGAAGTAAAGTGAGATTCCTGGTGGGGGGGAAAGCAGGGGGTGGGAGAGGAAAAAGGGGAAAAAAGGGGGGAAAAAAGAGGGGGAAAACAGGAAAGGGAAAAAAGAGGGGGAAAACAGGAAAAGGAAAAAAGAGGAAAGAGGGGAAAAAGGGGTGAAAAGTAGAAAAGAGAAAAAAGAGGAAAAAATAAGGGGGGAAATGGGGGAAAAAAGAGAAAGGAAAAAAGAAAGAAAAATGGAGAAAGAAAAAAGAGAAGAGAAAAGATTTAAAAAAAGGAAAAAAAGGAAAAAGAAGAAAAAAAGAAAAAATAGAAAAAATAGAAAAAATAGAAAAAAGAACGAAAAAAGAAAAAAAAAAGAAAAAAATTGGGGAAGGGGAAAATAAAAAACAGGAAAAATAAGGGCGAAAAAAGAAAAAATAGAAAAAAGAACGAAAAAAGAAAAAAAAAAGAAAAAAATTGGGGAAGGGGAAAATAAAAAACAGGAAAAATAAGGGCGAAAAAAGAAAAAATAGAAAAAAGAAAGAAAAAAGAAAAAAAAAAGAAAAAAATTGGGGAAGGGGAAAATAAAAAACAGGAAAAATAAGGGCGAAAAAAGAAAAAAGAGAAAAGGAAAACTAAAAAAAGGGCAAAATTGGGAAAAAGAAAAAAGGGGGGAAGAAAAAAGGGAGACAGGAAAAAAGGAGGAGGGAGAAAAGAAAAAAAAGAGGAAAAATAGGGGGGAAAAAAGGAAAAAAAAAAGATAAAACAGTAAAATTTCTTTTCTGGTTTTCACATCATGGAAATCAAGAGTCCTAATAAATTCTGATGCCCCTCAGTACCTGGTGTCAGTGACTTTTGGTCATTTCCAGTACCTTTTTTTCTATGTCCATTTCTGGACTCCCCATCATAATTGTTAGCTTCGATCTTCTTTCTTTGGTGCTCTGATAAACAAACAGAGAACAAATGTGTAGATTTTTTTTTACCAGTTTACCACTCAATCTCTCCCTTAAAATAAACTCAGCAAAATTCACAGCCTTATAACAAAATCCAGTAGAGATTGAGGGATCAAATCAGTTTAGAATGGTGTAAAAGTTGCCTCTTTTCTAATCAAAATGGGGCTTTGGGCGAGAAGACAAAAGCAGCAAGTGGTCCCCATGGGGAAAGGGGGCGAGCAAGGCGGGGAACCGGAGCCCCAGATCCGCTTCTACACCTGGGAGGAGATCCAGAAGCACAACCTGAGGACGGACAAGTGGCTGGTGATAGAGCGCAAGGTGTACAATGTCACCAAGTGGGCTACCAGGCACCCGGGGGGGCAACGAGTCATCAGCCACTGTGCCGGCGAAGATGCTACGGTAAGGACATCTCCCCCCCTACCATCACCATCACCCCCACCATCATCACCCCCGACCCTTCCCACCAGGCAGGTCCCTGGTGCTCTCTTAGAAGCCAGCCCGCACTTGTGCTCCTCTCTTTTCCCCCCATTTGCCCTTTTCCCCCCGCTTTTTGGAGAGAAAAAGGTTGGTCCCAACGGTTGGCAACTCCTTGGCCATCAACTCCCTTGAGCCGTGGCCATTCCCCTCTGGAAGATGGGTGGGTGGAGAACGCTGGGCTCTGCTTAAATCCTGCTTGGTTTTGTCGTTGTCTCTTGTTTGTGCGGTGCCCGAAGCTCTGAATTTCACGAGCAAATTGTCCCAAGTCCTCCCCCCTCTTCAGCCTGGGGCTTGTGACACCCAGAGTCCCAGAACCACAAAGGGTTAACGAGAGGCCGGTCTGTGCTTCAGAGTGGCTTCTGTGAGGAGGGTGAGCTCCAGGCTTTAAAACAAGGAGCTTTTTAGCTTTTTTTTTTTTTTTTTTAATTTTCCCCAGGAGAGAATTCTCCAGGGAATTTTGTTACAGGTTTCTACAGAAAAGGAGGAGAAAAAAAAATGAAAGAAACCCATTTGCTGCTGTTTCAGCTGCTCCTGTGCTTCAGAGCCGGGTTCAGCAACTTTAAAAAAAAAAACTAAACAAAACCCAAACTAAAAAAACCAAAAAACCCAAACCAGCAAAAATCTTGAAAGGGGAACAAATTGCCTCCGAGATGGTTGTCTGCAGTTTCCCCCCAAAGCCACCTTCTTCAGAAGTCCATCCAGGGAGCATGTTCTCCCCCCAGGGCATTAACCCGTAGTTAATAAAATTGAAACTGCCTTTCCGAATACTTTTAGAGTATTACACAGAGCTTTTCCCAAGACTGTAGGGTGAGGGCAGGAGAGATGAAGCCGTAACATTAACTGTTCACCTCCCAGGGCTCCTAACACCTTGGCAAGGAGGGAGGGAGGCTCTCTGTGGGGCAGAATTAATTGGCAAGAATTACTAACACTTTTCTTTCCATCCGTCTCCATTCGCCTGTGGTCCCTGGTTGTTTTCCCTTCTTTTCCTTCAAGCCCTGAGATGCGTTTCGGTGGTCCTGTCCCCTTCCAATAAATCCTCTGAAAGAACAGCTTTCTGCCTCAAAAAAAAAAAAAAAAGATGGGCCAGGTTTTACTTCCAGCTGCTTCAAGCAGGCCTGCCGAATCCAGAGGAGTTTGACTCCCATCCCCAAGAATTTAACTCCGAGATCTCCACTGGAAAGCAAAAAGCATCTGCTATTGCATTTGTCTCGAATCCTTACAAGGGGGGCTGAAACGCTGGTTTGTGCTTCTTCTGCTGGTCCTCCTCCCACCTCCCCAGCGCAGGCAGCGTCCCACTAAACTCAGAGCCCACTCCACCAAGGCATGATCTCAAGAAGGTTCTGAAAAACTGTCCGTCACCACCCTGGGCACTAAATCAGAATTAGCAGCTGGTTTCCAGCTTCCCCGTGGTGAACTAACGCTTTGCTGCCAACAAATCTCTCTCTTGTTCAGGGTGAGAAAGCCTTGGCCTTGACCCCATCGAGGCTTAACTAACAAGTTTCATTCCGTGTTGCAACATACCACAACAGGAGGAGTTTAGGAAGAGGAAAAGGCAATGATAAAAATTCAGTTTGACATGTTTGCATTCCTAGTTTGTACGTGGCTTCCATCTCTCTCAGGTTCTCCTTAGGACCACCTGTAAATAGGACCTCCAGTCCAGCAAACACCCACCAAAGGAACCTCAGCATCTTGTCCATTTATCTTGGACCAGTTTTCTAGAGGATCATTGTATATCCATCTTCCACAAGCTTCCACACACTCCCTGAGCTCCACATCTGTGCTGGGCCACTCTCAAGAGACCCTGCTAATTCACCTTAGGATGCTCAGAAGACAACTGAGATGCTTCCATGACTGTTATGTTCGGCATGCTCAGCTCATGCCACTCAGGTTTAGGAGCCCCCAGGCTAATTTATGCATGAGTTTCCCCTACAGATACTAATGACACTGAGCATTTATTCATTTTAGGCCATACTTTAACATGCTGAGACAGCATCCTGATGTGGGACAACCTGTTCTGGTATCACCTCATGCACAGTTGCCCTCAGAAAACGCACCTTGCAGTCGCTCTGTCTCAGAGATGTGCAAGGATGTGAAAGAACATCCTTGGACTGACAGCACTAAGCACTTCAAATGCTCGGGTACGGTTCATACCTCAATAATATGAAGCTTTTCTTCACCAAAAGCAGCTGGAATAATTCCCACTTCCCATAAGACGCTTCAGCTTACTTGGCCAGTAGGCCACAAATTTAGGAGGTCAAGTGTAAACATCACACAGCACTTCCCAGAGACTGTCTTTTGCCCTTTGCTTTTTATCTCCTCTAGTACAGAACTGAGCATAATTCCACAATTCAGGCAGTATCTCATATTTGGGAGCTATTGGTAAAGGAGATGCATGAGGTATGGAAGTGTTCAAGGCCAGGCTGGATGGGGCTTTGAGCAACCTGCTCTGGTGGGAGGTGTCCCTGCCCGTGGCAGGGGGTTGGAACTCAATGATCTTTAAGGTCCCTTCCAACCCAAACCATTCTATGATTCTATAATTCTAATAAAAACCAAATACTTGCCTCACTGTAGCTTTCTGGCTCATGATGGTAACAGCATGAGGGAGATGTTCTTCTCTCTGCTGCTTGCATCAGGTGGTACCTGGTAGACCTCCAAAGAATTTTTTTTCCCCATCGGTTTAAATAATATTGAGTCAACATTCTCTAATGCTTCTTACGTGTTCACCATCTCCCTCTTTCCCCTTCTTCCCCAAAATTTTGAAACCTTGCAGCAGCTACAGTCAGCTCTTCACTTCCCTGCTCACTCTGCCCTTCCCTCTTCTTTCACGTCACCTGAAAATTGTCCCAAGGAAGGAAAAAAGCACCAGACCTAATATTTCAGTGACACATTCGTGGCTCCGAGGGTGGAAAATGCTGGAATACCTGGAGCAGTGGTAAAAAAAGCTTAAGGCTACCAGTTCTGCTACAGCCCTCCACTGTGGCCATGGGCAAATCAGTCCTTCAGTGCATCGTTGCCCATCTGTAGAAGGAAGAGGACTGTGATTTTTAACCTCAGATGGGCTGTGAGGGTAAGACCAGAGAGGGTGAGGTACGCAGAAGTTACAGTAAATCAAATTCTTCCAAGTAGAGGAGGAAGCTGATGATTCAGGACAGGTTTTTCCTTGCATGGGAAACTCCTGACCACCTGCAGCACTTTGCTGGCCCTGGGGTTTCACCTTCATTTTGGCACCAGTAAATAAGACCTGTGGCTAACCCGATGCACTCGATGTCTGCTGGGACAAGTTTTGCCGGTGATGCCGTCCTCATGGGTGGAAGTGGAGAAGTTAATCCAAACTTCCCCCCTGTGGTAACAGGGATGGCTTTGTCCCTGAAATTGGTCACAAAAGGGGATAGTTTGGGCACCAAAATAGTAGGAAATTCCAGTGCTTTACAAAAGAAGTGCTCTTCACTTTCATTTCTGGCATTTTGGTTTGCCTCCTCCATTGAACTGACTTTCCCCCCCCCCCTTCTTACTTCTTCCCCCCTAGACTCTGGCATTTTATGGCTTTTATAATCTTTAAATCATTCCAGAGTTTTATTTCTCTCCTGCACCTGTAACTAGTTCTTCTCTCCCCTCCTCCCCCTACCAATGCATCTCTAACTTCTCATATATCATTTCTTTAACTTCAGGTTCAATGGCTTAGCTCAGCTTTCACTCTCCCTCCTCCTGTGCCTCCCACAGCAAAACTTCTATGGCCAGAGCATTATTCTGAAGCTCAATCCAAAGTCTTGGAATCAGGTGAAAGTTTCGGTTGATCTTGGTGGACTTTGGGACCAAGGTTGTTGGCTGGTATTTCTGAACACTAGAGCTTGACTTTTGATGGAGGTCACAACTCCCAGAAGGGTCAGCTGGACACAGTAGTGCTTTCCAGCCTGGCCTTTGTGTTTAGAGCCAGAAGTGAGATTTTACTTGGTCCCTACCATTGTTAGGCAGTGGGACAAAGGTGGAAAAGCTGAAGCATGGTACTCCTGACTTCTATTTTTGACTTTTTTTCCTGTATCAGTCTTAGCCCTTCATGGAACTGCATCTTTACAGCTCTCCTAGGTGAATTCCCAGATTTAACTCCAGCTCTGTACAGTAAGAAAAGGGCAAGGACAGAGTAAGACTTTCTGATCTTGGTCAACTTTCTGTCCATACCACTGTCTTTGGGGTTAAAATTCAAGCCATGCCCTGCCAAAGGAAGGGTGTGCAAGATCTCAACTCCTAGCAGCAGATGCATCAAATGTGCTGCCATCAGGCACCTGTAGGACATAGGTAGACCAAAAAATGTGGAAAGGGGAAGGAGTACAGAAAAGGAAGAGCCAGGCAAACTCACGAATGCCAGGATCAAAAAGACTCTGCAAACAAGGCATTGTCCTCCCTTATTAGAAGTCTTGAAAATATGTAAGAAAGCTGGCCTCAGCTGGCCAAGACATCCAGTAATATTTTTTGTATCTGCAGGTGCAGTCACCGCCATCACCCCCTCTCTTAAGTTCCCTCCAGGCAGCAGACTTTCAAAGGGTATTTATATCCTACTGGGGATTTGCACAAATTCCTCTCTGCCTACCTTCTAAGCGAATTAACAGGATTTAGGTATTTAGTTGCTTAGGAAAAAAAAAAATTTCTTGAGGTGCATTTCACCATATGGCTAGAGAGCATCCCAGATCTCGCCTCCTACTAGATGAGCAAAGTCCTCAGTCTCTTGGAGAAGTATTTCACTGAACAACAATCACAGAGCTAGAAGTCTAGAATTCACCTCTCACAGTAATGTGGGGGGATGGCTAGAGAGAAGGACAGTGCTGGAGATGGACAGGAATGACACAGCAAGTAGAAAACAACAGCTTGCTCCTGAATCTCACATGTTTACTCCCATTTTCTCTCCAGGATGCATTCCAGGCCTTCCATATCAACCCCACCTTGGTGCAAAAGTTTCTCAAGCCATTACTTATTGGAGAGCTTGCTCCAGGGGAGCCCAGCCAGGACCGAGATAAGAATGTGAGTATTTGTTTCTGAGCTGGCTTTTATGATGGGTTCCACCATTTCTTTCCTCGTGGGATGTCCTCCAGGTCAGGGGTGGACAGATTATAAAGGTCTCTTCAACTACGGGCAGCTCCAGAGAGGGGGGAACACTCTGTGTCTGAACCCCTCCGTATGGCAGTGTGCACATCCCAGTATAGATTAGAATGGGCATAGGAGGGAGGTGGCATGTTCAGACTGGTTGCCCAAGCCTTTCCATTCCCACAGAGCCACCAACAGCTCTATCTATGGAAATCATATCCCATTTCTAGCAGCCCATTCCAGGTGTCCAGGCTGGACTGATCGCATCCTGAAGGGAAATGGGAACTGAGACATGTGGACTGGGAAATGTCCACCACCTCTTGTGACTGGTGTCCTTTCTGATGTCCCTTCTCTGGTGACCAAGTTCTCAAACATGTCACTGCTTGCCTGTTATGGGGGAAGGAGAGGAGTAGGCAAAGAAGTCTTAAAAGACTTCCAAACATGTTCCTCTTTGAGACCCAAACTGACTTATCCTGTAAGACTTATCCTGAGATCAGTACCAGCAAAGCTCTGGAGAGGAGTCACACTTGTGCCACCCATGGCACGAGCAGTAGGCACCTACGGGTGAGGTGAACCAGATGTCTCATTTCGGTGGCCGTTTTTATGGAGCAGCAACCCAGCAAGCACCATTTCCACCCACTGGGCATCCCCGGGGCAGCTCTGTCTCCCTCCTAGACAGTCCCTTCGTTAATTATTCAGGCATGGTGCACGGCATGGCTGGCTCTTGCCACGAAACTCAATCCCGTCCCGTTGTTTGTGACTGGCCATGATTATGATATATCTGTAGCACTCACAATAGAGGAGACGCTGCGAACCCGCATTAACCCAGGAATGCTCTTCATGAATGGTTGCACGGTAGCTGACCCACGTATTAAATAGACAACGGGTGCTCCAATATTGGGTGCTCCATCACCCAGAGCTCTGGAATTACGCATAAATAATAGGACTGAATGCTCTCCTCCTCCAGCTGCCTCTTCGATACTTGTCGGGCTCATTCAGATGAGAATCATCAGCTGATGTAGCCCTCAAGGGAATGAGGTGTTGCTGCTGGTTCGCAGCAACAGGCTTGAATTACTCTCCTGGCTCAAGGTGCAAAAGGTCAGGAGGTGGGCTCAGAGCAGCCAGGATGTTTATTCATAGGAAAGTGCTACGAAAAGCCAGAATACAGGGTGAACATGGAGGCAGGTCCTTCCTTACCTCTGGAGTAGCCAACCAATGCAAGAAACAGCTGGGGTCCTTAGCATGGAACTTGGTTTTCCTTCCTCAGACACGTTGGGACTTATTTACAAGCTGCAAACTGTGCTTTGCCATGTCTATTTTGCAGTCCCAGCTGGTGGAAGATTTCCGGACCCTGCGGAAGACAGCAGAGGACATGAACTTGTTCAGAGCAAGTCCTTTGTTCTTCTCTCTTTACTTGGGCCATATTATTGCACTGGAAGTTTTGGCTTGGTTAATGGTGTCGTACTGTGGCACTGGCTGGATCACAACTCTCATCCTCGCCTGCATCCTTACAACTTCCCAGGTGAGAAGTAGTAGGCACAGAACATGCTGGCTACACAAATCACGCAGCATGCACTGGACTTGTCATATTAGATTAATTACCAGTGCAAAACATTCACACCAGTGAAAAATAGTCACCATGTACCTGCCACTGTGGTGCCTTCTGGTCACCGCTACCTTCTGCTGGTTGTGGCTCACACATTTTTCTCACCCCTTTGGCCTTTCCTTCCACATGTTGGTAGACTTGGTAGTGTTGGTTTTACAGTTGGACTTGATGATCTCAAGGGTCTTTTCCAACCTGACTGATTCTATGATTGTATGTTCCCCTCCAGAACAAAACCAGAGATCTTCACCTTCTCACTTCAGTTAATCCCCACCCTTCCTCACACTCACAGCTTGCCTTCAACCTCCATTTCCTTTTGTGCTTAGCTCTGATTTCAAACAGCATCCTAACTACTTGACTTCCCTCCCTTTATCCCAGGCCCAGGCAGGGTGGCTGCAACATGATTTTGGACATCTCTCTGTCTTTAAGAAGTCTTCCTGGAACCACATCGTCCACAAGTTTGTCATTGGGCACCTGAAGGTAAAGGACGTTATGGACCCAGGGCACTGTGGAATGAGCCACAGTCACTTTGACTATGTCAAAGTGGGAAACTGCAGCTCTAAACTTTTCCACAGTGAGGAGATGCACAGAGGAGAAGTTAGTGACCATTGTGTAGAACACACAAGAAGGTGTTAGAGAACACAGTAGTTCCACAAGCTTCAAGTGGAACTGCACCAATTTATAGCAGCTGAGGACAAAGCTTATTAAGTTGCACAAAACCCTAGTTTAACATGATATTTTTGCCATGCCCTCCACCTCCTTCATGCTAAGGTATCATATTTTTCAAACGTCCCATCCTAATACTTCCATCCATACAAGATGCCTTCAGAACTTCTATCCTGGGCAAAGTCCAGTGTGGTCCAAGCATTTCAGCATCCACCTGCAGTAGGAACTTCTAGGGGTAGGACACAGCTTTGCCCATTCTACCAAAGCCACTTTGTCTTATGTGGTTTCTTACAGGCACCAGAGGGAAACCAGTATAATAATCAGTAAGACATCAAAGGGATTAAGTGGTGGGCTTGGTAGTGTTAGGTTAATGGTTGGACTTAATGATCTTACTGCTATTTCAAAAACAAGTAACAATTTGGCCATAGTCAGAGTTTCACTGTTTTAGTTTATATAAATGAAATGGGTGATCCTACCATGACGAACTCCTTGTTCTCGTATCTGCCCAGGGTGCCTCTGCAAACTGGTGGAACCATCGTCACTTCCAACACCATGCCAAGCCCAACATATTCAAGAAGGACCCAGATGTGAACATGCTGCACATTTTTGTCCTCGGAGACACACAGCCTGTTGAGGTAAGGCAAAGTAGGTTAAACATGGAAAACCATAGTCCTAAGGGGCTTCAGAGAATGCTTGCGCGATACCAGGAGTTGACTAGTATTGGTAGATAATGGCTTATGAAGGACTTCCAGGAATGCTAAAAAGGAAATCCAGGGCTTTCCTCTGTCTGTGTTGTCTAAGAGGAGTTTGGCTCTCACCCTGTTACAAACCTTGGGCTGAAGAGCAAGACTGACTGTAAAATTCCCTACCCACTTCCTATATTGACCACAGGAAAAAAGTGTTTTGGGATAGCTTGGGAAAAGCCATGAAGATGGGACTGGAAAAAAAGTAAAAAGCTGTTAAAAACAATTTCATCCCGCTGGCTTGAAATACCAACATGAGGGGAAGACATGGTGTTCCTCAGTACTTCATCAAGGAACATTTCAAAACTGGTATTCCATTTCCACAGAAAATATCTTCCAGTATCATCCATCCAGCTGGGCTCCAGACAACCTGTAGAAGGTCCTCTTTATTGGAGCCTCTGACATGCAGTTGAAGGGATATTACTTGCATAAGAAATACTTTCTTACATTAACTATGTGCTGTCACCTGCACATGAAATAACAGGCTACATTGAGGGATTTTAATTACATCTGTCCTTCTACAGCCAAAATATTTACTGCCTATTGTATCAAAACCTACGAAAAGGACATAAACCATGTACCATCCTTCATCTGTTTTACAATGGAACAAGGATTTCCAGTTTTAAAAAGAAATAAACAGCCTAAGGAAAAAAAACAACAAACAAACCAAGAAACATCTGCAACAAGAACAACACAGGGGAAATGTGACATTTAAAAGTTAATGGTTTCTCAGCCAGCTTTTATACTATTGAGAAAGTAACTCCAGACACACGTAGGGGACATACATACTGGTATATGGCCATGTATAGACAATGTCTTGCACACATGGAATTTTCAAGAGGCAGAAGGGCTCTTATACATGATTAAAATGAAAGCCTTCTCTTGGGGTATAAAAAAGCTGTTTTCTAGAAGAAGTAAATCAGTATCACCCTCTTAGCCACTGGAAAACCTTGTGCCTGATAACTGGGTTTAAGAGCAGAACCTATGGCATTTGTACTGGTAATGATGGAGATGACAGCAGCTCTTAGCTCAGCCACAGGCGTGGTGGAAGGTAGAAAAACCCACTAAAATGCAATCAGGTTCTCAAGAAAAAAAGACATTATCTGAATATCAGGCCAGAAGACTTTAAAAAGGAATTTACACCTAGCGCGATTACGAAGTCAAGGCATTTAACTGTACCAAACTGTACTGTACAACTTTACTTGTTGGGAATTTTGTCAAAACTCCCCAGTCAATAAGGGGAAATCAAACAAGGAAGTATTGCAGAGAACCTTCTCTTACCTGTGAGTGTCATAATCCAAGCCTGAGCTTTCTCCTCTGTGTCCTGCAGTACGGCAAGAAGAAGCTGAAGTACCTGCCTTACAACCACCAGCACGAGTACTTCTTCCTCAGTGAGTATTTGCCCCTCCACTCTTCCTTTTTCCCTGAATGCCAGTTGACCTTCCCAGCCACTACTGGGACTCCTTAAGTCTCAACTCATCCTTCCCTCCTTCAGGACCACCATCCCCTGTGCAGGCCCCAAAATCAGATCATGTATTCTCAATGGTTTCTGAGCATCGTGAATATGTAAAGCAAGGAAAACACCTGAGACTGGGAAAAAACCTCTGTGTGAGAGGCAAAAATGCATGTTGCCAGTCGATGCTCTTTGATAAGTCAAGGTGATGGGTGTGAAGAAAAGTCTCCTTTCTTCACAGACAGGCAACCACCCCCCATCATCAGCACCTCACCTCTCTCACCAGTGCTTGGCAGACTTTCCCTAGGACCAGGTGTAAATCGCTGGCTCGCCGTCATGTCGCACGCCTTTCCACCCCTCTGATGGCCAAAACATCTCCCTTTTGCTTTGCAGTCTTCCCACCTCTGCTCATCCCCGTGTATTTCCAAATCCAAATCATCTCAACCATGATCAGGCGCAGGTTCTGGGCGGTGAGTTAAACATTCCCTTGGTCTTTATGGGGTCCAGCTGGCTCGTAAGAAATCTCAACTGAGTAGGGAGGGAGGTCGGTTGTTTCTGCAAGAGAGCTGGTAGAGGGAGGTGGGCAAGAGATCGCTGTTAGTTGTCCATCATCCCTAACATTACCTGCAAGGACACATTATATGAGGTAGGCAAAGTGATGCCTAATGTCTTCTCTCTTCCCCTAGGACCTAGCCTGGGCCATCAGCTACTACATGCGCTACTTCATCACATACATCCCATTCTATGGTGTTTTGGGATCCCTGTGTCTCCTCACTTTTGTCAGGTAGGAGATAAAGGGCATCCTCATGGCTCTCCCCTCCCTCCAGGGCCAGATGGACCAAGTCTCAGTCTCTTCTGTGCCCCACAGGCCTTCTCTATTTAGGTTCTCCACAGTCATTGAACTCACCTTGTCTTATCTTCAGTGTTCTCACTGCTTCTTTCCTCTTATCATCTCCCAGTTCTATCTCCCCACAGCAGAGCTGGCTCTGGTCCTCAGCATCTTCCCCTGCCCTTGTGATGGTCCAGCCAGCATTCTCCTTCCTTTCCTCATTACCCGTTCTCACACGCTGCCTGAACCCAACACATTTATGCATTTTTTTTCCACTTTGGTCAAGGCTGGACCCTTCCAGAGTGTCACCCTCTTCCCATCTTTCTGGGAAGGTAATTAATGAACCCTCCTGAGCACTGGCCATGCTCCTCAGTAAACGAAACGCTCACCACTTCCCAGTGTGGAAGACTGCATGACCTCACCACTGGCTGGTACCAGAGGATGGCAGTGAGTCCCCACAGTCACCATTAGTTTTAGGAAAACATTTCATTGCAGTGAAAAATATTCTCTAAAAAAAAAATAATTCATTTTTTTTGCATAAAAAGAAAAGGTAATAGATGTGAAACCCCCTTCACAATATTAGAACTTTTACCTCCACAAAATGTAATGTCGCTGGTCCTGACTTCAGTTTTCATAGTTTCAAAACACTTTGGGCCTAATGAAAAGAGGACATTCAAAAGATGTAAATTTCTGTAAGTGCCTGGCCAACCTTTTCAGACTGAAATCAAGCTGAAAAACTTGCAACAACCAACCTGTTATTTCCAAAGCTTCCCTATTTTGATTGAGCTAGAAGAGGAAGAAGAAAGGCAAAATTGCTAAGTCAGATCATCTGCTCTTTTGGAAAACAAGCCCAAAGACCAGAATAAGGATGCTTCTGGACAACTTGTCTATATAAATTTAAGTCTCAGCACAAACTACTTTGGGTAAATAAAGTGCATTTCTATAGATTCCAGCTACAGGTGCTAAAAATACAGTTATATACCATAAGCAATAAAAAAACCACTCAAGAGCGATACCCAGCCCAGGGCAGATTTGAGGCTCAGGGTAACGATAACGAGAGGGCAAAGGAGAGCCCCATTGTGCTGAGCTTGACACCCAGCAAGCTGACATGGATGGGCAGGAGGAGTCTGAAATTAATGGGTATCCAGCAAGAAATAGGAAAGATGAAAACAGTTCTGAGAATTCCTAAATCAGGGCTTTTTTTTTCAGAGAATTGGATCAGCTTTTTTTACCAGAAGGCAAAAGCAGCATAAGACATCAATCCACTTGTGAGGAAGAGGGAGAGGGATAGCCCAGTAGTATGTCTTGTTTCTATTTAATCATAATTGGGTTATTCTCAGAGGTGTAGAGAGGGGAAGGGAAACTCATCACAGAAAAAAATCCTCTCTGGTTTCCATAGAAAGAGAGTTATTTACTGCAAGACCTTGGAGAAATACTTTCCTCACAGGTTGCATCTCCTGCTGCTCCCTGTAAACCCCACTCTATTTACCTGGTACCCCAGTCTGCAACATAAATTGTCACGCTTTTTGCCCGTTTGCTTTTAAAGGTTTCTGGAGAGTCACTGGTTTGTGTGGGTCACCCAGATGAATCACATTCCGATGGAAATCGATTCTGAGAAGCACAGAGACTGGCTTAGCTCCCAGGTAAGTGGGAGGGGAAAGAATACACATGGAGTATTGGGAGCTGGAGTTGGAAGGGACCTCTGGAGACCATCTAGTCCAACCCCCCTGCCAGAGCAGGTCCACCCAGAGCAGGTTGCACAGGAACATGTCCAGGTGGGATTTGAATGTCTCTAGAGATGGAGACTCCGCCACCTCTCTGGGCAGCCTCTTCCAGGGCTCTGCCAGTCTCAAGGTCAAGAAGTTCTTCCTCGTGTTTAGGTGGAACTTCTTATGTTCAAGTTTGTGCCCATTTCCTCTTGTGCTGTCACTGGGCACCACTGAAAAAAGACCGGCCCCATCCTTCTGACATCCACGCATTCAGTATTTATAGATGTTGATCAGATCCCCCCGCAGTCTTCTCTTCTCCACACTAAAAAGACCCAAGTCCCTCAGCCTTTCCTCGTAAGGGAGATGCTCCAGGCCCCTCATAATCTTTGTAGTCCTAAATACCCCTGATTCACCCCAAAACGGATTAGAAATTAAAGAGTGGACGTGTTACCGCTGGCCCCAGGCACCATTACATGGTTTCTCTCCATGATTCCTCCCATGAAGATGTTCTCCTCAGAGCCAGTAATGCTGAGTCAGGACATGGGAAGCCAAACTTCTGTAATTAATTTGACCATTAAGAGGTTCCTTCCGATTTGGGGCAGCATCAGGTTCTAGGAGCATTATTTGGCTTTCCTGAGTAGCGTATGTTGGCACATACATATCAGGAAAAGAAGAACCCCAACGAAAATCAAAGCTGAAGAGAGGGCTTAATAAATTTCTAAAGTTTATATTTCAGCAATAAGGGCTGAAATGAAAACCAGCTGCTTTCTATGTCTTTTTAATGCCTGGTTAGACAAACCCATCCTGCTGAAAGGTTACCTTTTATTTACAGTCCTATTTACAGACCTAGAGGATAATGAGACCAACTTTTACAGTGGTCATATGAATTTGGTATAACTGAGTTGACAGAAGAAACAATCTCATGTGCTAATTAGTATAATTAATATTTGTAGTTGTTATTGGGGGCCTTGAATGTGAGCTTTCAAAGTCTGACAGTCCATTTCTCTCCCTTGTACTAAAAACACTAAAGCATTAAAAATAAAGCGCTAAAACACCCCTTTGTGCTAAAAGCACTATTTAGGAAAGTGCCTAAGCATTTGTTTTAAATTAAGCACGGGAATAGATTCGCTGAAGTGATGGGAGTGTTCAGATCCTCACCTTAAGCTTTTGCTTAAGCACCTTATGCAACTGGAATTTGTAGGCAGAGAGAGGTTTTGAGAGTGAGAGACTTGGGGAGGGGGATTCTAAGAGAGAGATGGTGGGTGGGAGGGAGAGAGAGAGAAAATGGGGGCACGACAGGGAGAAAGAGGTGAGTCTCTTTGATGTGGGTTTATGCTGCATCCTGGGAGGGTGAGGAGAGTCTATTTCCTACGGTTACTACATAGAAATCACAGCTTGGCCAGTCCAAGGCGTAAGAGGATTTTAAGAAAGACTACATCATTATGATCATTAATAACAAGATTAGCTAAGAAATATTTCCAGAATATTCAGACCTTGCACTTAATGGCAAACTGGGCAATAACCAGCTGGGATGGGGAGAGCAAGCTTACTGTGTCCGTGGGCTTTTCCTTCCCCATTTTCCACCTCGGTACTGTTGTACTTCACCAATTTTCACAGCTCCTTTCTTGCCATCACAGTTGGCAGCCACGTGCAACATCGAGCAGTCCTTTTTCAACGACTGGTTCACCGGGCACCTGAATTTTCAGATCGAGCACCAGTGAGTATGAAGCCAGGGCCATTTGGCCACCACTGGGTTGTCATAGAATCATAGAATGGTTTGGGTTGGAAGGGACCTTAAAGATCATAAAATTCTAACCCCCCTGCCCTGGGCAGGGACACCTCCCACCAGACCAGGTTGTGCAAAGTCCCATCCAACCTACCCTTGAACCCCTCCAGGGATGGGGCAGCCACAGCTTCTCTGGGCAATCTGTTCCAGTGTCTCACCACCCTCACAAGAAAGAATTTCTTTCTGTTGTTGTCACAACACCAGACCCAAGGGGAGGGAAAGTCTGCCAAAGGTGCAGGCGTGGGATGGGGCAGGATCTTTGGAGCAGTACATCTGAAGAGAAAAGAGAGACCCGGACTGCTGGGGGTCACAGTTTGCTTCCATTATAGCCATGGCATCTTTCTCTCTTGCTATTGAATACTTCAGCTTTCACTCTGACAATTTTAATTTAGGGCTTTAGTAGTCAGCAGTACACATCTACCAGTTACAATGGTGATGGACTCATCACAGAATGACATGGGGTTGGAAGGGACCTCTGGAGAGCATCTAGTCCAACCCCTAACCAAAGCAGGTCCACCTAGAGCAGGTTGCACAGGAACTTGGCCAGGCAAGTTTCGAATGTCTCCAGAGAAGGAGCCTAAGCTAAGTACTTGAACCTAAGTATCCATTACAGAAATCTCTCCGTGATTAAAAGCACGACAATGCTTTTATAGCATGGGAAAGCTGTGTGGGACAGTGTGTGCTGCTGGATACCAGGTTCCAGGGCCATACAGGCAGTCTGTTACCAGTAACAACACAAAATGTAGAAGATACGGCATTTAGGGTAAAGCTGACTGGTTTGGAAGGCAAATTAGGAAATCTCCGTTGAACAGCACAGTGCAAGGTGATCCCAAATTATTCTTTACCTGCTTCGCTGTTCTGTGAGCTTCCAGAGGTGGGAAATCAGTGCATTCAGTTTTCACAAGCCTTCTTGAAACAGACTGTAAAGCACAGATACCTCTTGGTGCCTCTCTTTTGCCTGCTTGCACGGCTTGAGTGAGGAGAAGGCATTAATAATTAGCCCCTGTGAGGATGCAGAGACAGATGCCCATCCCTTGGGATTAGTCTCCGGAGTTTTCTCAGGTTTGTTTTCTCTTTCTCTAATTCAAGCCTGTTTCCAACAATGCCACGGCACAATTTCTGGAAGGTGAAACCTTTGGTGAAGTCCTTATGTGCCAAGTACGGAGTCCAATACGAGGAGAAGCCTCTTGGGAAAGCATTCGTAGACATTGTTGGGTAAGGTCCTTTTAGCATCATCTGCAGCTGGCAATTTGCTGTTACGTGAACATCCTGTCTCCTCTAGCACAGAGAATTCAGGACACTATAGACCCTTCAGAAATACCATCTCGATATGGTGTAATCTGGTGTCGCCACGTTAATAATCTTCATATCACAGTCCAAGGAACACCTGGAAAAATGTTGCCCTGCAGTGGAAATGACAGTGTGACAAGTGAAAGCAGACTAACAGGGGGTGACAGCAGATGGGAACCTGCTTCACTACATCACGGGGGGGGAAGAAATAACTAACCCCCAGAGCAGCTTCTGCACCCAGTGCTGCTCTCAAAGTACTCAGCGAACATTTAGATGGGCACTAACCTCATCCTTTTTCTATAATATATTATATGTATATCTATATATACAATCTATAGGCACCTTTTCTATAATACATTTTTTCATAATGTCTTTTTGACATGCTATATTTAATAATACCTTCTCAAAATGCTGTTCTGACAGCTGGTGGTTCTTGGGTCCTGGGAGCTGGCAGCGTATGTTCAGGCTGCAAAGTGAGATGAATCAAAGGGGGATGAGTCAGGTTACAGCCCACGCTGTCTCCCACGTGAGCCCCCACCAGCAGCATCGCTGCAGACGGGTCTGATAGCCCTTGGCAGGCAAGACTCAGCATTAACATTTCCCTCTCAGTTACTCCACAAGGAATAATTCACGACAGGCAACATGAGAAAGCATTCCGGGAGCTCCACTCTCAAACCCTTCTAAGCCAATGCAAATTAAAGCAGGTTGGCCCCAGCATGTAGAAGGGCCAAAAATGGGTTCAAAACCTCTCATTGAGTTGGCACAGGAAGATGCGTGCCACCCTGAGACCCAGGGGGGCTCTGCCCAGCGTCCCACCATGCAGTACCATGTCCCTACACCAGCTCTCAGAAACCATCTCAGCACTTACTGGCCCTCCCGATGGAAGGATCATCTCCTGTAGTTCATACAAAGCTGTATTTCCAGACCACCTTCTGTTTGTTGGACTTCTGGGAACAAACCAGCCCAGATCTGTCAGATAATATTTGTGGAGCTGATGCAGATGGGAAATTCCGCGTGAGAATTCCAAGGAGAAACCCCCTTCAGAGGTGCAGGGTGGTGACCTCAGGCAATCTCTCTCTGCTCTTTATTCAGGGCCAGAGGGACTGCAGATAACACAGTGGGCATCAGCTGAAGATCTTGCTCACTGAGTCTCAAACTGGTCACTTCATAGAGTCATAGAGTTGCCCAGGCCAGAAGGGACCTCCAAAGGTCATCTAGTCCGACCTCCCCACAGTCAGCAGGGACACCCCCAACTAGACCAGGTTGCCCAGGGCCTCGTCGAGCCTCTCCTTGAATATCTCCAGGGAAGGGGCCTCAACCACCTCCCTGGGCAACCTGTTCCAGTGCTCCACCACCCTCCCAGTGAAGAACCCTCTCCTCATCTCCAGTCTAAAGCTGTTCCCCTCCAGCTTGAAGCCATTGCCCCTCGTCCTGTCACTGCAGGCCTTTCTAAACAGGCTCTCCCCAGCCTTCCTGTAGGCTCCCTTCAGGTACTGGACGGCTGCTATTAGGTCTCCCCAGAGCCTCCTCTTCTTCAGGCTGAACAGCCCCAGCTCCCTCAGCCTTTTTGGGGGTCTAAAGAGCAAAATAAGTAGCTTTTGGTGTATCTCTGCTGAGGAGGTGTATCTCTAACTCTACTGAGGAAAGACATTTGGTGCCTAAGAGTTAACATTCAAATTCAGTAACAGGCTTCTTTGTAAGAAAAAAATGACAGAGAGAAGGTTCACAAGCCAAAAAACCCCCTTCTCTTCCTTTTCTTTCCACAGATCCCTAAAGAAATCCGGAGATCTGTGGCTGGACGCTTACCTCCACAAGTGAACACGAGTCTTGGTGGGGAGGTGTGAGTGCCAGGGAGGGATGGGGGGGTGCGTGGGGCGG